AGTAAGGCATGAAGAAGGATACATTCTGAAGAATCATATTTTATTTAACACTGCTCCCCCTGATGAAGCCTGTACAGCATTAAACATGTATATATGTGTCTGGGGAAGGCTGGGGTGGGAAAATTAGATGCTCGACTGTATCTGCAATGTAATGACTATCCCAGTGATGGCTAATCTTTTTTTCTTCGGGTGCCAAAGTGCACGCACATGCAAAATAGTGCACACGTGCATGCTCACACCCATAATGCAATGCTCCCCATGCATGCCCTGCCTCCTCCACATGCGGGCGCAACCCCCTCACAATGCCTCACCTGCTGCACATGCAGGTGCAACCCCCCATGACCCGTTTTGGATCTAGCAGGCCTCCCTGAAGGCCGGAAACAGCCCATTTCCAGACTTCCGGTAGGTCCGTTTTTCACCCTCCCAGAGCCTCTGCGCGAGCCCTGTACTTACCTGGCATCTAAAATGGGCCACGTGGAGACTCCTGGGGTGACAAGGCGGCATGGGCATGAATGCATGGTAGAGACCTGAAAATCAGCTGGCCGGTGGGAGTATGCGCGGTGGAGCTGACCTAAGGTGACGGCTCGCGTGCCCGCAGAAATGGCTCCGTGTGCTACCTGTGGCACGCGTGCCGTAGTTCGCCATCACAGGGCTATCTGAACAGGGTAGGATGGGGTGGGAAAATTCAGACTTGTCTGCATTTTAGATGTGGATGCTATTTTGAGTTGGCAGAAATCAGAATTGGAAACAAAATCTTGTCGGAAGTCATAGATTTTGGTTTCTGTAAAAATAAAATGGCAGTAGTTTCAGGTTTGAATTACAGGATAAGCCTAAGAATCTGGTTAAAGCATCACAGACAACCATGTATGTTTGCACGTCTGTATAAGAAGCCATATGTTGAGCATTATGTAAAATGCCATCTTCTTCAGCATCCCAGCGTAAACTCCTCAAACACCGAATTTATCCTAGACAGCGGGGTCAGTTATACTGGATTTCTAGCACCTCACAATCGAGAAGACCTTCAAATGTAATGGATATTTGGCAGATGAAAATGTAAATGATTGGATAGCCATTTATCCGGGATGCAATTAAGGTCGCTTGCCTTGGGCAGGATGTTGAACTAGATCTCCAGGGTCTCTTCCAGCCCTATGATTCTATGACCTCCATACGTATAAAGCTTTTACTCTCCCTCCCCATTATGCACCAAGTGGCTTCCTACAGAACTGCAAAAGAAAAAGCTTTTCCACTTGGTTGTTTATAGAAATGGGCCCTTCTAATTGCTTGTGGAGGGGCATGAGATTTCTCTGACGTAGGGACATGAGTATTTTTAAATAGGGACATGAGTATTAAATAGGGACATGAGTATTTTTAAAAAGTCAGATAAACAAATAAAAAGGAAATGGGACAAGTAAAACTGCTGAGACATGACCGAAGTTATTTTTATAATCAGGCTATATTTCTGTTAGCATGTAATGTGCTTTATGTACCAATGCTTCACAGTCAAATGCAAATGTGCTGACAGATTACCCATTCAAGTAAATTCTACTTTCTTCTACTGCACTGTTGCCATGAAACTCCACTCTGATGCACGTTTTTAGGAGGAAAAATATTCAGAGGGATTTATATAGTGTCAGTTTGGCTGGCTTTCCTCCCAAGCAGAATTCAAAGAGGAAAATGATATAGATTCAGGGTTTTTAGATTGAAATGTATTTGTCAGGGCTTCCTTGTTTTATGAATAGGTCATACGGTACTGCTTCCATGGCTACTGTGACAAACAATATTTATATTCAAGGTGGCCAAATGAAAGAAGACTCCCTTCAAGGTATTTCACTATTGGAGCTCTGCTTTATAAATTCAACAGGTGAAAAGGCCTAATAAGCTTTGCATGGGTAGATTTTGTTAATTTTCTGTTATTTTTCATTGAGGCAGAGATGCCAATTTCTTCAGGAGCTCAAGGACACATTGGATTTGGAGTGGACACATCCATCCGATGGTTTCCTAAAGGAGGAAAGAAACTTTATACGCCTTTCAAGGTGAATTCCTACCTCCAGAGGTATCTATAAAAATGACTATTTAAAACAAAGTACTGCATATTATGGTTCTTATGAGAAAATGTTGGCTATTGTTCCCCACAGAGGAATATTTTTATGCCAACTGAAAGGTCATTAAGTATTTAAGCTGTCAAATTCTCTAATCCTTTATTTTAAAACCTGGCAATGATTCTATACAAATTTGTACAAATTATAGAACTATTTCATTAATTAATGTCGATACAAGGATATTAATTGTTTTCTTGGCCAGGGAACTGTGGATCTCATCTTATATAATTTGTCTCCTTAAGATTTATTTTAAAAACACTGTATAATTTGAAATTGTTATCATCCTCAAAACAAAACTGATCTTGCTGCACTTTGGATATGGTCCAATTTAATTTTCTTAAGCAAGTAATGAGTGAAATTTTATTAAAGGGATGAAAGCTTATTATCAACAGCCCAGTGTGCAAGTTATAACAAATCAATTGATTTCAGATTCGAGTTACAGCATGATACTCATCAGGGTTGCCCACTTTCCTTGTTACTTGTTTATTTAACTTTAGAATCCTTAGTCATTAGCAATTGTAAATTGCTTCTTGAATCAGTCTATCTGCTTTTCCGACAGGTATTTATACTCCCACTCTGAAGCCAAAAGCAGATTTTTTGATAAACATTCAAAAGTAAGTGACGCACTTTGAGAAGTAATTATAAACTGATGAATTCAAAAGACGATTTTAATCTAAAGATGTCAACAGGAGAAAAAGCACAAGATAATTATCAAACAATATACATTGCAAATATATTATCAGTACTTCCTTTGATTTGTTTTTTGTGTTAGATCTTGTATTTAATTGTGCCCTAGATAATGAAATAATAAATAATGCAGTCTTTCAATTCTGTATTAAACCCCCCTTCTCACTTTTTTGGTTAGATTATATGTATTATTTAAAATCTCATTTAAAATGTAGTCTCATATTTTCTTTAAGAACTTCCATTATCCAAGCACACAGTCATGGCCTATCAGGAAGAAATCTTCTTTTTCTAAGGAAACATTCAAACCAGGTAAGCTATGTTAATACATACATATAAAAAAAAATCAAATGCAAAAACTATTTAAGTAATATTTATTCATCGTATTGTTCTGACAGTATATATATTATTAAATTGATCTATCTATAAGAATAGGTTTCACCCATGCATTTTAGTAGCCTAATCAATGCCAAATTTAGAAAATGAAACTGTGGTGCATAAGACTAATATGAAAATAATTCTAAGCTCTCTGGTATAAATGAATAATAGAAGAAAAGAATCTCATTTCACTGGGAAAACGTTAGGAATTGCTGAAAATTTTATAGTTATATAACAGTAGAATGCCTAGAATAGATGACGTTTGTAGGCAAAGCACGGAATGTCTGTTATTTTAATGTTATATACTGTCCCTAGCTTTGTATATAACACCTAGGCATTATACAGAATGACAAGAACTATTTAGGCAAAGTATCAAATGAAAGCCATGAAAGTGTGAGAAATTGCCAGTGCATAGAATGCTTAGGAAAGGAGCACAATATTAAGCATTTCATACTTTAATGTCCCATTTTTGACATTCTATAGCAGTGTTGACAAACCTTTTCGGCATCGAGTGCTGAAAAGGGAGCATGTACGTGCGGGAGCGCCGCAAACCAGAAAAGGAGCCCTAGTGCGCACGTATCAGAGTGCCAGAAACCGGAAGACCAGATGACCAGCACACTTGTGCTCACCGGGAAGCTGAGCTTCCCGTTTCTGGGATGTGCATGTGCGCTGGTCACCTAGTCTTCCGGTTTCTGGCACACATGTGTACGTGAAGATCAGCTAGCCGGCACGCATGCCCGTGCTGGAAACGCAGGGGAGCTGCTCTTCCGGCTTCCTGCAATCCCACACGCATGCAAAGACCAGCTGGCCAGAACCCGGAAGAGCAATGGGTAACGGCTGGGTGTGCCTGGATGGCTCTGCGTGCCACTTCCGGCACACATGCAATAGGTTCAGCATCGTGGTTCTGTAGATTTCCTAGGCATTTTACAAAATGCCTATTTTCATACACTGACATCACAATAAAAACATCACTAGCGAGATGTTTTATTATACTTTGGTTTGCCTTTTGGCATTGCATAGTATACCCAGGAAATGTGTGAAATATTAAATGTTTCATACTTTGATGTCCAATTTTGGCTTTCTATATATTTCCCATTCTACAAAATGCCAAATTTCACATACTGAAGTTAACAGATATTAATAAATTAGTAATTTTTTTAACCTGATAAATTCTTTTTATCTCAAGAAGCCACCCATGCTGACGTTTTTGTACTGTGTACATCGATTTGAATTCCCCTGATCATTCAAAGTTAACAAGGTTCATTTAATCTGTTGCCAGACGAAAAGACAATCTGGAAAAATCAGCAAGAAAGGATAATATCCCAAAATGGAAATATTTCAGCTACTAGTACAGTGCTTGCCAGCAAAAGAACTATAAAGAAAACCCCAAAACAGAAAACTGAAGCAACCAGATCTTCTTTTTGCAGCCTGCTGTAAATATCACTGTAGGAATTTAAGGAAGCAGAATTTCAGAAACATCCGGACAGAGACGTAATTTATGCCTTTTACCCAGACTGCAACATGATTGACAACCACAGAATTCCTGATAATGGCATTAAATAATCCAGAAGTGCTAATTTTTCTACAGCAGGCCTGATTTCATTCAAATCCCCTTATGTGCATTTGCCCAAAGCGTGCCCAGGATCGAAGTCTTAACTATAATTTGCTTCCTAACTAGCTAAATTCCAAATGGCTTTCTTTTCCTAATAAGGAATATAGAGCCGCAGCAGGATATTGTTCCAGCTTTCCCGTAACGTTTTCAGAGGCAGAGACCAGCACTGTGCCCTTAATCCCGTGTGAATGTTCCAGAGGTCAAGATTGAGGAATAAAATTCTGGAATTTTTTTAAAAATCCTTTTTTAATCGTCGCTTAACAAGAATCTGATTTTGCCACGTTCGCAGCGGAATCGGCTGTCCGCCCCCGGAAGTTTCCGCGGCTCCTGGCAGGAACTTTGGAAAGCAGCGAACGGGAACTCTTCGGGCCGAACCAGTCTGGCCCTTCCCGCGCAATTACAGGGAGGCCGCGCCTCCCGCTCCGTTCCCAGAGCGAGCCGCGTTCGTTATTTTCCGGCGGGCCCTGACGTCACATTACATTGCCGCCCCATCCTTTGCGGGAGGCGTTCCCACTCTCGACCCCGCCTCCGATCCACCATTGAGGGAGCGCGAGGGGCGTCCTGACGTCACCCAATCCGGTGCAGTGTTTTGTCTGGTTTGGGAAAAAAAAAAAGTGGGGGGTGTTGGCGCCTTCCCTCCTCTCTCCCCCCTCCCCTCTGCAGGAACCCGAGGAAGACAAGAGACCGAGGTTTCCCCGCCGCCAAATGGAGGCGCAGAAAGAGAACATGCCGCGACGAGACCGCACCGAGGAGGAGAACGCGGAAGCCAGCGAGGCCTCGGTGAGTGTCCCTTCGCGGCTGCGCAGCTTTGCCATCGGGCTAGCTAGTCGTTTGGTGCCCAGAGAACCAACCGTCCCGGCTGGAAAGCTCCTTCCGTCATCGTTCGAAGGGCTCGGAGCTCCGCCCTCGGCAAAGGAGGGGCAAGCGGCGCGAGAGGCTGAAAGCCATTGGACCGCGGCGGGAAAGAGCTCGTGCTTCTCAGTGAATCGGGGTCTCCCGCGGAGTCCTCCCTCTGCGATCGATTGCACGAGAAAGAGAGAGAGCGAGAGAGAGCCCGGCGGCCCTGGGCCTTTGAAGAAGCCTTGCGCTTATAAAGGGTTTTTTTTTGGGGGGGGGGGTAGTCCATTGAGTTTCGTCTTTCCAGTTGGGTTTTGCATTTAACCAAGATGGATCACTGCCCAAAGGAGCAATCATTGCTAAAACAATTAAACCCAACCCCGTGACACTTCCAGAGGGGGGTAGGGGTGGGTAGTGTTACTAATTAAAAGGTGAAATCATGTTTTACGTCTTTATTATTATTATTTTTAAATAGCATGGGCAAACAAGATGACAATGCCTTGCTTGGATTGTTAGTAAAAACGACCGTGAGGCAAGCTGTTTTGTGTTACCTGGAAATATCCAAGAAACATTGCAGCGCTCCGGGGTTGCAGGTAGTTTCACCACTATTGGTACTGGAATGTACACTGCTCAAAAAAATAAAGGGAACACAAGCAGAAGACATCCGAGATCTGAATGAATGAAATAGCCGTATTAAATACTTTGTTTGTTACATGTAGTAGTTTTGTGTTCCCTTTAGTTGTTTGAGCAGTGTATAAACTACTGTATGTAAAGAACAAAGTATTTAATAGGACTATTTCATTCATTCAGATCTCGGATGTCTTCTGCTTGTGTTCCCTTTATTTTTTTGAGCAGTATATTTTGCTTAGTGACGTATATAACATAGCAATTGCAGTCCTGGCAATCCCAGTTGCAGTTGTAAATCCAGATGCATGGGCCGTTAAGTGGGAAATAGCAATAGTACTTAGACTTATATGTTGCTTCACAGTGCTTTACAGCCTTATGCGGTTTTAGAGCCACATATTGCCCCCAACAGCCTGGGTCCTCATTTTACCAACTATGGAAGGCTGAGTCAACCTTGAGCCGCTCAGGATTGAACTCCTGGCAGTGGAATGCAGAGTTAGCCTGCAGTACTGCATTCTAACCACTGTATCACTACGGCTCTGGTGGGAGTCCCAGGTAAGGGCTGTAGGGGAGGCCCAGTACAGCCCGCACATGAATGAGGGGTGTGCTGCAGTGTGGAGCAAGTTTAGGAAGGCCAGGGAAAGAGGTATGTGTGAAAGTGCATTGAGGCTAGGGAAGGAATATAGGGGCTTGGTGCACCACATCTCTGGCTGTAAGAAGCTCCAAGAAGCTGCAGCATGAAACCACAGGTGTTCCTGGAAGCTTCAACCAACCTTGCAGCACAGCAGAAAGCCATTTTACCTTAGGAAGCACAAAGGGGCTTCTTGGTGTGCCACAGCTGTGGGGCTGCAAGAAGTTCCTAAGATGCAGTGCAATATGAACTCCATCCCCAACCTAGCTCATCAGCACAGGGTAAAGGGGTTTCTTGCTAGTCTGGAAAGTCACAATCAGCTCAGCCCTGTCCAGCTGCAGTCACTCTTGCTTCACCATACTCCATTCTACTCAAGGCCATCTTGGATTTTAGAAAAGGATACGTCTGCCTCTGTACATTCTTATTTTTCTACCCTTGAAAAACCCTTCATGCTTTTCCATTGGTATTCCAATGCATCCTCAGGCTTATTGGCTCCTCTCACCATTGAATTGTTTTTCAATGGAGCTAAGACCGGCCTTTACCCAATCCACAAGCATACAGTGGTTTACTTTCTTCAAATTCATACTTGAGAAAATGTTTTCATAAGTGTCTAACTTTTAAATTATATCAACCATATTTGCCTATTCTTAACTGTTGGCCATTAAAATGCATCAGGGTGTTCTACTATAGTTTCCACAATTTCCTTTGCTGGTATTTATCTGATGACTTTAAGTTTAAAAAGATAAAGGTTTCCCCTGCCCAGTTGTGTCCAATTCTAGGGGGTGGTGCTTACCTCCATTTCCTAGCCAAAGGAGCCAGTGTTGTCAGAAAATGCTTCTGTGGTCATATGGCCAGCATGATTATATGCCAAGGCACACAGAATGATGTTGCCTTCCCATCAAAGTGGTACTTATTTATCCACTTGCATTTGCATTCTTTTGAACTGCTAGGTTGGCAAGACCTGGGGCAAGAACAGGAGCTCACCCCATCACGCAGTACCTGGGTCTCAAACAGCCAACCTTCTGGTCAACAAGGCTTTAAGCTTACCTATCTTCAAAAAAAATATATAAGAACCTGTAAAAAATACTGTAAAGAAGGAATGTAGCAAGTTAAACACATGCCTATTGTATGTTATTCCCAATTCTAAAATTTAAAATAAAATAGTATTGCCTTTGGGCCTGTTCTGAAATGTTGCTAAATTCCTTAAGTGGGAGTTATGCTCATCTACATGGTGCCATGTTGATGACCAAGTAGGAAATTTGACTAATTGATGGGCCATAAACAAGATTAGGCTCACATAACAATTACAATAACAGATTCCCTTCTTTAAAAGAATGCATTTCAAAATCTGGATGTTAGAAGTGAATAAATTACACCTCTCAGTATATGTAAGGGCTTTTTCAATATAATACTATGATCAGTCCTGCCTTTGGACAATTATCCAATGTCATTGTTTCTAGATAATGTTGAATAAGATTATTATTAAAACTTTTGAAGATAAAGACAATTATAACGTATCACAACTTTTTTTCTCATCATACAGACTTTCTGTCAGAGTAAGCAGTGCTGCAAATTTGATCTTCAAGAAGAAAATAATACAAAATCTAATTCAAGTGATTTCAGCGATCCAATCTACAAAGAGATTTCTCTGACAAATGGTTACATCAATAGAATGACTAGAGATGAGCTGAGAGCTAAACTTGCTGAATTCAGACTTGACACCAGGTAACTGTGTGTGAGTGCATACATTTTCTAATGTGTTTCTTACTACATATGTAAAGGTAGAATTAATAAAGTCACCTTTTGTGGATCTTGTGTTTGGAGACAGGCCTATTCGTTTTATATGTACATACAGTACAATATTTAGTTTTAATAATTTGACATCATCCTAAGAATCCACTTGGACTTAGGCAAGGAATAAATTGCATACCTAAATTAAAGTTGGAACAAGAAGATTTTAAAAAGTACTTTGCAGTTGGTGGTAGTTTAGTGATAGAATGTAGGCTTCACACACAAATTAACCCAGGTGTTATTCTTGGCATTTTCAGGTAGAGCTGAAAGAAACTCTTGATTGGCCACCTAGACTTCCCTCTCAACTATAATTGACATTACTGGGGTTAGGTCTGACTTTTAAGAAAATAGCTTCCTATGTCAGTTATGTAATAGCATCACAATTTTTTTATATATGATGTTTTTTTTAAATAGTGTACATGAAAGTGTTCCTTCTGTTCTCTGCCCTAGAGACCATTTAGTTCATCTGAAATCAGGGGTGAAATGCTCCCGGTTCGGACCGGATCGGCCAATCCGGTAGCTGGTGGTTTGGAGAACTGGTAGCAAAAATCCCTGCCCCCCTCCCCGCCCCTGCCCATGCCCACCTGGTCGCCCACCTGCTGCTTCTTTTAAAAAATGCTTTTAAAAGGTAAAAAAAAAGCTCTGACGATCCCAGCTGAGCTGCGCAATCGTCAGAGCCTTTTTCTTTAACTTTTAAAAGCATTTTTTTTTACAACCTATTCGGCCGGATAGGTTGTAAAGAAATGCTTTTAAAAGTAAAAAAAAAAGATTGCGCGCCACAGCTGATCACATACACACACACCAGTGTGCTGTTCTACTTATCCCATGGCTCCTTTTGGCGTGAGTGGTGCGCACTGCACATGCGCAGCCAGCAAACTGGTAATAAACCAGTTCAGATTTCACCACTGTCTGAAATGTAAATGAAAGGATTACTTATTTGTGCAGAAATAACTTCATGTCATTGCAAACAACTTAAGTAAAAACTGGAATACATTTTGTCTAAAAATAATCTCTTAAATTTCTTAAAAGCATAGGGAATTTTATAATCCTGACGAATGTTTCTGTTCATGTTTTATCTCTCAATGGAGAATTACACAGTAGGAGCAACTTCCTTTTGAGGCTAGTTTGGTGCAAAGAGATCAGAGTAGGTAATTCTTGTCATTTCTGTTGGAGGAAGTTATTAAAAACAAGACTGGCATTTTCATGGAGAGATAATGTCCAAATGGATTAGGAGATGCTACATTTCTGTTCTAATTCAACAGTATACTAAAATATCCTAGAAGTAAACACTATTTTTTTTAACAGAGGAGTAAAAGACGTATTAAAGAAGAGGCTGAAAAATTACTATAAGAAAGAAAAATTAATGCACAAGCAACCTCCAAATGCAGAAGACTACTACAATTATATCTGTGTTATTGACTTTGAAGCAACTTGTGAAGAAAAAAATCAGCCTGAATTTACACATGAAATAATCGAATTTCCTATTGTTTTACTAAATACTCAGACATTACAAATAGTAAGTATTCCTTCCTACTTGATTACTGGACAGTTTAATAAATTCATGAAAAACTGAGTTTTGCATTTTGAAAATAGATAGTGAATCAAAGGTATTATGTTGCCCTGTGTGCAGTCTGATCAACAAATTAGGCAGCTTACGACTCTGGCATAATATTTTTTAGATCTTAAATTATATCCATAAGAAAATAATTACTGATATATGTTTGCTGCTTAATGTACAGGCATTTTGTGCAAAAAAACAAAACACCTTCCCTTTTCTCTTGCTAAGTGGAACGAGCATAACAGAAGTAAATACATGGCTAGATTCCCCAAGTAGACAGTTTGGGAAAAGAAAAATGATTTTGGGTGAAAGACAACAAATAGTCCAAATGCCCTTCTTTGCTACTCTTCTGCTCTAAATGATGCCATCCTGATCCTTCAATTCATTTTTAAAATGTTGAGTCTAATGTTCTGCAGGTAATTAACACTGATCCAGTTGCATATCATGCTAAGCCATAATAGCTTAGCATAAATATGCATGCTCATTAGTTTTCTTCTATGGAGCGTGGCTAGCAAGTTACCCATCATTTGTTTGTTTATAATTAATCATGCCATTTCAATATGGGCTACATTCCTAGCAGAATTAATGGAAAAAAATAGGAAAGGCGTATGGAGTGGCTTATGGCTATGTTCTCCAATTTGTTTTGGTTGGAAAGAACCTAGTCTGCATCCTGTATTCACACATCATGTGATAATTTAAAAAAAGGCATCAATAGGTGGTTCACTGGCTATGCTGGTTTGAGTAAGGAATAATCCATTGTGGGTATGACGTGGAATCACAGGTGTATTCCTGTGATATCAGATGGGGCTTTCTGTATTTTTTGGTTATCTTCTCATAGCTGTCCAGATACAGTGCCCCAGGGGTAGGTTCTACTTACCTTTACTACCAGTTCGCAATAGGGCTGCGCGTTTGCGCTCTCTTCGCTCGTGCACATGCACACTCTTCTACACAAGTGCAGAAGCTTCTGTGCATGCACAGAAGCATTTTCATGACATCAGGGTCAGTGGGCGGAGTCTCCCACCGGTTTTACTACCGGTTCTATAGAACCGGTGCGAACCGGGGGCAACCCACCACTACAGTGCCCCTAATATACTTGTGTGTAATGACTGTATATCATTCTTTATGGCTATTCTGTGTTACAACTCTTGGTACTCTTTGTGAACCTGAACCTGAAGTGGGAGTTGTAAGAAAGCCTCTAACCATGGCAGCAGGAACAGCAAAATATCCCACCTAAAGCATAAGTATGATACTGCAGTACTTTTTGCTAAGGTTCAACTAATCATCATCATCATCATCATCTCTTTTATTAAACGTGGAACTCAGTCAACTAAACATTTAAAAATGTATCACAAATATCATTGACTAGCGCTGATGGTTGATATGGGTTGCTGCCAGCATCCTAGGTATTATAACAACAACAATAACAACAGCTATTATTAATTAAACATGAGGTCAACTGAGTTATTATTCTATTCTGTTATTCATTAAACATGAAACTCGGTCAACTGAGTTGTTATATTGTTATGTTTGACTGATTGTTATTCCTTTGGATTAATGAGCTATGTAAGGAGCAGGTTTTCTGTGTTTTGTATCATCATGAAATGCCCTATGTTTAACTTCAATTTTTCAGGAAGACACTTTCCAGCAATATGTGAAACCAGAGATTAATCCTCAACTCTCAGATTTCTGCATTAATTTGACAGGAATCTCTCAGGTAAATATTCTGTCACACATTACACTCATAAAGAAAAACCTTTTTAAAAAATAAAGATTTAGACATTAGATGTATTCCTAATACCTGACTGCAAGCACAGCATGTAAATGAGTGCTCAGATCTAAGTTTAACAACTGCAGTGATTCACTTAACTCTGATAAAAAGGTTATAAAATGGGGCAAACTCACTTAGCAACTGTCTCAGCAACAGAAATTTTGGGCTCAAGTGTGGTCATAAACCAAGGACTACCTGTAATTCTTATGAGAGTTCTACATCGATGAAATCCGCTTTATTGCTTCCTTAGTGCCAGTTGCAGGAATAATGCAAAGACTGCGTGGGGTCCTCAAACTAGTTACATTCTTAGTAGCTCAATAAATTACAAACTGAGTTTTGTACAGCACCAGAAAAATATACATTTATAAATGTTGGTTTGTAATGGTTTGTTAGGTATTGAATCTGATATGGAGCAGTATACATTTTAGATGCTTTTGAGATACAGACATTTAATGTTGATGTTAACTTGCTACTGCTAGTTCTTTTCTTATACATTACAGTTAGGCTCCGAGGAACAAAAAAAGGTTTTTCTACCATAAATTCTGTCTTTCTTCCAGTTTTCCAAGCTGAGAAGGGGTGGAAGAAGAGGGAAATAAAAGAACAACCAGAAAGATAGGGTGCTTGACAGGCTGCAGGATTTTTGAAAATACAATTTGTGAGAGTTGGATCCAGGACATCCCTCCCTTCCCTCCTGCCCCTTCCCTGCCACCAGCCATTAAAGAATATTAGATATATGAGGCAGATACTTCAGTAGTTATAAAGAAGTTTTTCACTGAATGTAATAAGAATGAATATAGGATATTTTATTGCATTAATAGTTATTGTAGAAAACAAAAAAGGGTGTAGTAGATTTTTAATAATATGACTTGACAGAAGCCCTGTTTATATTCTCACATTATATAATTAATACTTGAATTTCTTAATATACAGTAATTGTATTTTCATTCATAATATTTCTAGGAACTGGTAGAGAAAGCTGATGAATTCCCAAAAGTTCTGCAACGTGTTGTAGACTGGATGAAACAGAAAGAACTAGGAAGCAAATACAGCTATTCCATATTAACAGATGGGTATGTGTTGGGGAGAGGTACATATATGTTTAGTTGGTGAAACATATTTATTTTTTAATTACAACCATTAAATTATGTCAGTGTTCTTAAACCAATCTTTAGCTTTGAAAGGATTGTATTTCTGGAGTTGTTCAGTTTGGTTGTATTTGCAGCAATAAACTAAATAGGATGCTGTGATTGGAATGTCAGAATACCTTGGATCTTTACCCTGCTTGCTGCACATAATTAGAAATATTTTCTGTTCTGAAAAGGTTATAGCAAATTTACTTTGATTAAAATTCAGAGCCTAGTAGATTACAACTTTTTGAATTCAAGAAAAGTAATCTGCATAGGTAACATTCATACATGAGCATTGAAGTCAGCTGTTTTATTCAGTGCCTATACATGAGCAGGGGATTATAAATATGCTAATTTTCTTTGACAGATAGCTGAAGAATGACATTTATAGAACCTTACAAGGGAGTACATTCATATATCTGTTGATTATTTAATATTTGAGCCATATATTTTACATTTTGATAAGTATCATGCGTAACATAAGACAATAATAAACAACGAAATTACAGTACAATTGTACAAGTTAATGAATTATAAAACTAATGAAAAATATGATCAATAAAATGTCAAAAAACAAATCAACAGCATGGAATAAGACAATATTTCCATGAGAAAATGTAGGCAGATAAAATTCTTAGTGCATATTTGGGCCACTGAAAGAAGAATTTAACAATAGGTGTTGCCAGAAATAATGCTGGTGGTCTATTTAAGATTCAGGGACTCTCAAAAAAAGATTTACAAGTTGTCTCAGAAAAATTGGGGAAATATTAAAAAAATATCCAAATAATTTGCAAAAGAAGCTTAAAAGAACCTCCTGATGAAAAGCTAAATTGACATCCTTAAAATATTATGATTTATTTGTTTCTTTGTTTGCTTCTTTGTTTGTTAAAGGTCCTGGGATATGAGTAAATTTTTAAATATCCAGTGTCATATTAGTCGTCTGAAGTATCCTTCTTTTGCTAAGAAGTGGATTAATATCCGCAAATCCTATGGAAACTTCTACAAGGTTTGTTATCTGCTTGTTTCCTGAAGCATTCAGATTCTATTGAGAAAAGTAGAAATTCAGAAATCGGGTTATAATAATTGGCAAGTTAATGAATTTAACTATATGCTGTGGCTCGGACAGAAATGGCAAGTCTTTGGGGCTTGGCATGTCAAAAACTCAGAAAATACATAAATTCATTCTGCTGGCGTGTAATACATACATATTGGGGGGCGGAGAGAGAGAGAAACAATTCTCTATTCACCCACCCACCCCACATCCTGAGCATTGGCACTTGGCAGCAGTGCTAAGGCTGGGCCTGGAGTTGAGGTCTGACCTCAGCTTCAGACCTAACCTATGCTGTCACTGAAAAAGGCCACTTTGCACCATTCCCATTCCTCAGCTTCCAAAAATTGTGCTTTTGAAAGTAGTTTTTGGGTGTTGGTAAATTATGGCATAAATGCTGGTGTGTTACCCAAAACTTCGTAATGTGTCAGATTTGACATGCATGTTACAGGTTTATCATCACTGAGCTAGGAAAAGTACACTGCTCAAAAAAATAAAGGGAACACAAGCAGAAGACATCCGAGATCTGAATGAATGAAATAGCCGTATTAAATACTTTGTTCGTTACATACAGTAGTTTTGTGTTCCCTTTAGTTGTTTGAGCAGTGTATAAACTACTGTTTGTAAAGAACTAAGTATTTAATAAGTCTATTTCATTCATTCATATCTCGGATGTCTTCTGCTTGTGTTCCCTTTATTTTTTTGAGCAGTATATATAAAGTTTGGGCTAAAGATTGCCCCTACTGAGATATGTATGACAGGTAGGATATATATGGAGTTATACCGCCATTCATTAGCCCTTCTGCAAATTCTAAATGGTTTGGAAAAGAGATGCCTTTTTTATATAGTTTTGGAGCCATTTTAAGCAGGGAAATTCCATGTTGGTTTTAACGTTTGATACTGATTTTTAATTGAAATGTTTTAAATTATGGGCCAAATTTCATTTAATTATTTTTAAAATTATTTTAACTTTTGTGTACAAATGTTTTTATTTTGGCTGTTCACCGCCCTGAGTCCGAAAGGAGAAGGGTGGTATACAAATCTAATAAAAGATAAAGATAAAGATAAAGAAATGGGTGCCTTAAGCATCCCTCCCATTCTGGTGATGTCCATAGTTCACTCCATGTAACTTCAAAATACAGACAATTCTCACTTACTGATCACAATTGGGACCGCAACTCCATCAATAAATAGTTATTAAGTGAAATGTCATGTGATTGTGTGGAACTTTTGATGTAAATTCCACTACAATTATTAAGTGAATCAAGTCTTAAGGACTTATGCAGTCCTTAAGATCCCAAATGGAAATTGCTTGACTGTAAGATGCTGTGACCATCGTAAATGGGCACTGGTTATGGACTGCTTGAATTGTGATCACATGACTTTGGGGACACTGCACTGGTCATAAATCTCCTTTTTCAATGATGTTATAACTTCAAAGTTGGTTAAGTGAGGACTATCTATATTGAAGAAGACAATGTAGAGTTTATGTAGGAGCACAAAAACTGCTTACCTCTGCTAGATACTGCATGTATAAAACTCAGAATCTGAATGTTGCCTTTTGTTGCCCATTCTTGATTTTTCTAGAACTGCAGCAACTGGAACAACAGATCTATAAACATTCTTTGGGGCAATGGGCATTATTTGACATGTGAGAACAAGTCCTAGGTGCTCTTATAACATGGGCACTTTGAAGGACGTGGCCTGTTGTAAAAGATCTCTTTGCTGAAGGAAAACTGGTTCTCTTGCTCTCCACCATCCTTCCCAGTATTTCCCTCCAGGATATGCTCTTAATTGTCCAGCTTTAACTTTTTTTTTGTCTTATTTGGTGCAAGTGGACATACTTTCATATAACTATAACTACCCATCATTTTTGTTTTCTAAGAATGCCTAAGTACCTGGGTTGGCACAGAGACATTCTCAGAAACAAAAATGCGAAATGGTTTGGTATGCCAAATATTGTCCTTTTATTCATTTAAATTAAATCAGTTTATTTTAAAATTACACTCCTTCATGTAGGAAATATGCTGGACTTCAGAGCATAGCTGGAATATGCAAGACCCCATTGCCATCTTACATTTACGTGGGCAGGGGTAGAATTTAGAACAGCTAGTAATGTAGACAGATCGATACTGCATTTTTATTTGGTCTGCATCTACTCAGGATAATTCAATTCATTTTCCAGGTTCCTAGATGCCAAACAAAGCTGTCAACCATGTTGGAAAAACTTGGGATGGACTATGATGGACGGCCTCACAGTGGGCTGGATGATTCCAAGAACATTGCAAGAATAGCCATTCGAATGCTTCAGGATGGATGTGAACTCCGTGTAAATGAGAGGCTGCACGGCGGGTATCTGCTAGCAGTCCCTTCCTCGACTCCAATAGAGGGCGCTCCAATCCCACAGATGCCGAGGTTTCGATAAATATTAGGAAGTGAGTTACCCTGCCTTCAGGCCCATATTCTTGCTATTCAAAAGCCATTTCAAAGAGTTTTTAAAAGGTATTCTATCCCCAATTTAACCCCTTGCAGAAATTTACAGGTCACAGAGCACCCACTGAAAGTCTCTCTTAATTTAGCACTCTAAATTTGTCACGCTAAGTTTCATTTTAGTTATCCAAGAAATTTATGCACTTATTAAATGGTTTTCTCTGAAGTAAAGTCAGACATTTGATCTGTACCATTTGTAAGTGTAACATTTGATCTGCGGATATAACAACACTAATAAGATGTTTAACATAGTTGAATACTACGGGGAATGCATCTTTGCTGATCTCTTCTTTTACTGTTTAATGTACCAGAAAGATCTATTTGATTTCATGTCACAGTGACCAAATTGTTTCCTGGTATGCGTTAGTTTATCTGGGTTTGGTAAATTCTTCACAAAGGGGATTTGTTTTTTTAAGTTTGATCTTCCTTACCCAGTTGATGGAAAATTCTAGTAGTAATACATTTTTTGATGTATATATTGATGTTCTAAGATTGTTGAGAGACCTATTGGGCCAATATTAGTTACCTTTTAGCCTCATTAAATTCTAATAGCAATTTAAGTATTTCATTATATTTCTATTGAAATAACAGAGTGTTTAACAAGGATTATTGTACTTTTCTCCTTCCATTCTCCTTCCTCCTTCTACAATAGCATGGTGTAACTTACTTTAATATCCTACCCCAGCATTGTTAAAAAAACAGAGAAGCAAATTATTTCTGTAATAAAGTAAGCTTTGGCATGGATTTTATGCCAGTATTTCATTCATATAATCAAAGAGAAACAAATCACTTCCCTGTAGATTATTATGCCAATCTTTGTTTTGACATTTCAACTTATTTTTGAAAGGTTTGCTTTAATAAATACAATTTATGTTTTTAATGTTCTGAACCATTACTTAGCATGGCACATTTTAATATTTATTGCACAACTGTTACAGATTTCTAACTTCAAATTGATTTGTTACATTTTGCCACTTTCCTGGGAATTCTGCACAAATTGTTGCCTAGAATGTTCTGAGGGAATGGATGACTGATTCAAGTCGATTATTGACTTCAGGTCTAAACAAGGATTCAAGCCCATCTTTAATCTATTATACCTCACAGTGGCTGTGTACAGTGTATAGTTTGGCACTGTATGCAGCACTGGTTTTCTCTTGAAAGCCCATTTTGTAAATATTCTGCTTTCTTGTAATCTGTCCAGAGCAAAAGTGAATAATGATTTGAAATTACACTTTCTGCTGCAGCCTGCAATCTTAATATTCTTTTCTATTTTAACACTTTAAATCATGTGTTCCTACATGTGTAAAATCTTTTCTACGTGTTTTGTTCATGGAATTGAGATGGTTTTGAAAGACTGGCTAGTTCACACCTTGTGATAAGTAAAAACAGGCTTGATCATTTTATGGACCAGTCAGTCCACATTGTTTATGATTCAGGTGAACCCAGACTTTTGGGTGAATCTACTAAAACTATGTCATATGTTGTATGAACACAGTTTAAGATTTTGTGCTAGGTCAACTTTTTTCCACTGCACAACTAGCCATTCATCTTCTGGACACTTTAAATATCAGCTTTTGGTATAAAAGTTTATGCTGTTTTGAATACAATTTGTATATTTTTACTTTAAAAAAAGGTTTCAATCCACTGTAATCATTTGTATTTCAAATTAATGTGTTATGTCTGTCCAATAAAGGTACTTTGTAATGTCATACCATAGCTCCTCTGCCCATTCAAAAATGGATTGTGGGAACAGATATAAATTTTAGCTGATTGTTGCAGCTGGAGTTAAGACAGTGGACAACACAGAAGGACCATTAGGGGCTGCATTAAGATCTCCTGGGTATGCATGTATGTTGGATAATGCTGCTGTGAGCCACAAGAAATAACTTATGAACATTTTAATTACCGATACATATTGCCAAGCAATCACAAATGGACATAATATGGAGATTTAAAATTGGACTCAACTGTTAAAATATACTACAAACATTGAGCCAATGGGAAAAATGTTTACATCATATCTCTATCAGTTTTGTACTCTTTATATGCACTGATTGGATCTCCTTTAGATCCAGATGGGAATTTACCAGTATATCTGGTGTGCCTCTGGATTATTCGGTTTCAGGCCATTGTAAACAAGGCACTTAGCAACAGAACAACAACAAAAAATTCCAACCCAATAAAATAGTGCTTAAAAACAATATATTTTTAAAAGTAAAAATCATTTTAATATACTAAAAGGAAAACAACAGGCAATGTAAAATATCTAATTCTGGTTAATTGCTCACATATAAATCTCTGGCACATCTTCAGTTGCTTTCTGAAAAAGGACAACATGGGGAGAGGCTAGGCAAACTTCCCTTGGGAAAGAATTCCATAATTGGTGAGCTACCACTGAGAAGGCCGCGTCTGGTCATTAAACTCAAGCCATCAATGGGAAAGCAAATAATGCCTCTGCTCTGGATATAGATGCACACATTGGGGTGATGCTATGCGGGAGTAGTAGAAGTAATACTTCTAGTCATTAGGACTTTATAATCCCAAAGCAGCAACCACCACAAATATGTTGACTAAGGGATGAAATGCTCCCGGTTCGGACCGGATCACCTGATTTGGTAGCGATGGCAGTGGGTGGTTCAGAGAACCGGTAGCAAAAATCCCTCCCCCCCCATGCCCAGCTGAGTCACGTGATCATCAGAGGCTTTTTAAAATTATTTTTAAAAGCATTTTTTTACAACCTCTTCGGCCAAAGAGGTTGTAGAAAAAATGGTTTTAAAAGTTTAAAAAAAAAGTTGGCCATGCCCACTCAGGCACATTACCCCCCCCAACCAAGCCACGCCCACAGAACTGGTAGTAATAAATTTTACATTTCACCACTGTGTTGACTGGATAATAATGGGAATTGTAAAGAAACTGACAGAGAGCTACATCAGAAAATAGTGTTGCGTAAATGAATAAAATGTCTTGGTTTATCAAGAAAGTTTGACATGAAATAAGATGGAACTCTGCCCGTATCTTATAGCCGTGGAGAAACTAAATGATACATTATTGAATGCACTTAAGATACAGATTAGATTCTTATTCAGTAGTCAATGACCTATATTCACCTTTCTTTCTAGAATTATATTATTTCAGGAATAAGTTGTGAAACTTAAGTATATCCCAAACCTATGCATTCTCGAGTGTAGGAAGGCATTATAATGTGTTGTCAGCAGTTCTGCTTGGGATTGTTGAAAAATTGCTTTTTAATAGCAATATATGCCCTTGTTCAAGGATATGGAAACAATAGGTTATGTGTTGCTCTCTTGTTTTTCCATCTACTGGGATTTACATAGAAAATGTTCTCACGCTTACACTGTATTTTGTTTTCCAGAAGAACATTTGGTTATGATATATTCTATCTCCTCTCAGACAAAATTAAATCTTTTGATGATAAAGTGGCCAGGATTTTGGGGTCAGCTGTGAGGATTTTGGCTTGTTTATCTTCATCATTCTGGGGCGTTTGTGGACTTAATGATCTGTGTTGGCCTTATTTGTAGGTGAAATAGTATGAGAACTGAATTGGCTGATTTGGTATTACCATTCGTTAGCTTTGTAATTAATATACTTAACTATCCAAGATATCTAGGAGGTAATATACTGATATCAAGTTAGGGAAATACTATATTAAGGTGTGTAATAATTTTTGTTTCAAACCAAACTTTGGTTTGACCCTTTGAAAATAAGAGTCCCTCATGTTCACCTTGGTCATGATCACTTCTTCATTAGAGTATTATAATAGCACTAGAAGGGTTACCCTTGAAGACTTCTAGGAAGCTACAGCTGGCCCACAATGCATCAGTGCAGGCAGTCATGGGCATGTTGCGGTATCCACATCTGTTCCTGCTGCTTCATGAACTGCACCCATTGCCAAGTGGTTTCCAGTGCAATTCAATATGCTGGATATAACTTATAAAGCACTGCATGGCAGAGGAGCTGGTTATTTGAGGGACTGTCTCCATCTGTTTCTGCTTGTCCAGTGAAGTCAGCTGGAATTGGCACATTCCAAGTCTATCAGTTATGCAGTGTTATCTTGATGGATCTAGGAAGCAGGCCTTCTTGGTGATGGTTCCTGTCCTTTTTGATGATATCCCACTCCTGTGAGTTTTTTGTAGTCTGTTTAGATCCAACTGTTCTCCCAGGTCTTAGGTTAGGATGGTGATTGAACCCCTTTAGGTTTTTGTTTGTTTGTTTCTTTGATCTGTTTGCTATCTTCTGGCACATTTTTTTCCTGATATGTTTGGTTTTCTTTTTAATATTTTTATTTGTAAACTGCCCAGAGTTGCTGTGGAATTGGATGGCCTCAAAACTAAAATAATAATAAATAAATGAAAATTAAAGAAAGATATCAAAGGACTTAAGCATTTTCCACATGAAAAAAGGAGTTGTGGGCTCTCTAAAAGGTAAGGGGTATCTTGAGACTGAAAAATGAAGGCTAAAGGTAATTGAGCTATTTCTCTCTTCTCTTGTACAGTACTAGAGCAGCCCAATTAGTATTTGGTATCTCAAGCAGAACAATTGCTTGAGATACCAAAATCTCAGAAGGCTTTCTTTAGTGATTGGTGTAATAGACAGCCAGTTCCTCAATTGAGTAAGTCAATGTTTTTTAACATGTACACTTTAACATTAATTACCTAACAGATTCTGAAGAAAAACAGCACATCAACACAACAATGTTACAAAAGCAATGTCCACACTAGAGATCAGAATTTCTATTATCTTATTTTGTTTAACTCTGCTCAGTTAAGATTTCTGGAAACATTTTCAGAAATTTTAGTTGGCTCTGATAGAAGAATTGCCATTCTGTAATGGCAATTACAGATTGCCATTTTACATTTTACAAATTACATTGCCATCTTGATTGGCAAACTCTATTCACTGGCTGCATCACTGCCGAAGATCATTA